ACCCACCCCCACCCACCTCAGTTCGCCCTGACCTGCCCTCTGGCCTGCCGGAATCCCGAGCGACACCGGAGCCGCTCACAGGCAGGAGGCAGGGGAAAGGTGAGCATTTGCATAGCCCCCCCCCCCCAGGGTCCAGGGGAGGAGCCGCCTCGGCCAGGGCATCCCCCTATCGCCAACGGCCAGACGCCAGCCTGGGAAACGCCACTGTGGGAAGTTCCGCGCCCAAATTCTTCAGGCAGGGGGCCACAGGGAGCCAGGCCACCCCACCCACCCACACGTTCCCTCTAAGCTGAGTCGGTGTGAGCCGGCTCACAGTTCTTTAGCCTCCGGCTCGCACATTTCCCCCTTCGCTCAGGAAGGACGGCTCCAGGGCAAACTAAGCTATGCGGCAGCCAAATGGCTCGCTCGCAACTTTAATGCCAGCAGCTCACAGAGGAGAACTTTTGCTCACGGGACCCCACAGCTTAGAGGGAGCACTGGCACACACCCTCTCTGGGGCGTCCTCAAGCCAACACGGCCGCCCGGTTCCCCAACGGCATCACCAAACTCGCCTGGCTCGCGATGAAACAGGATGCCGGCCCCAAACGGGGCAGCACGCAGCTGTGGCGCGCCCTCCAGTGGGATTCTCTCCCACCCAGTGTTCCCTCTAAGCTGAGTTAGTGTGAGCCAGCTCACAGTTTTTTAGCCTCCAGCTCACAGATTTCTGTCTCAGCTCAGGAAGGATGGGGCTCCAGAGCAAACTGATTGATGCAGCAGCCAAATCGCTCACTCACAGATTTAATGCCAGGAGCTCACAAAGGAGAACTTTTGCTCACAAGACCCCACAGCCTAGAGGGAGCATTGCAGCCAGCGTTCCCTCTAAGCTGAGTGAATGTGAGCTAGCTCACAGTTTTTTAGCCTCCGGCTCACACATTGTTTGTCTTGGCTCAGGAAGGATGGAGCTCCAGAGCAAACGGATTGATGCAGCAGCCAAATGGCTCGCTCACCACTTTAATGCCGGGAGCTCACAGAGTAGAATTTCTGCTCACAAGACTCCACCGCTTAGAGGGAGCACTGCCCACCACCCGTGCAAATGTCACATCCGGGCCGGCTGCCTGGCTCCCAGACAGCCTCCCGCCTCCCCCTCCCTGGGCAGAAGCCCCCTGGCCAGAACGTTTTATTTTAACATGATGAATAAAATATTTTAAGACAAGGTGTTCAAATATTTTCCAAATCATTTCTAATATATATATATATGGTATCAGATTGATCTAATTTCTGTGCACTGAGGACAAGCAAGTCCTAGGTTACAAACTGAACTCTCCAATGCAAGAACAAGATGCATTTCTTCCTTTAGGAAGTGCTATTGTCACGAGAAAAGAAAAAAGTTTCCGTTTTGCTTTTGCATGTGGGTGGGTATTCTGTTTGTAATAACTGTTTGGATATACTATATTTTTAATATGCTAGTTGTGATAATTTCATGCCAAGTAAAAATGTCCATATTCATATTTTATGTTCCTAAAGTAACAGAATGACTTTCAATCTGGAAAAGAAAAAAGAAGTGCTAATGTAGCATATTTTTTTTCAATTTTTCCGAAAATTTCCGTTTTTTTCCGGGAAAAACGGGAAAAACCCGTTTTTTTTCTGAGCTTCAAAATTTCCAGAAATTTTACATCTCTACACTCACCTCCTCGTTGCTCTGCAAGACGTCCACGATGAGGTCCTCGGGTGCCAAGAGGGCCCCCTCCTTCTTGAGGGTGAGGCGCGGCAGCAGCCCACACATCTGGTAGTAGCGCTGAGAGGCCTGATCCGCCAGCCAGGACACCGGCCGGCTGTCGCTGCCGCTGCAAGGGAAGGGACACAGCGAGGCCCTCTTACCCACCCCTCCACACCGCAGTGGCACAGGATCTCCTTCTCTCGCTTCAGAGTCCGGCTTTGGCCTGGGGAGGCTCGCCTGGCGTGCCACCCCCCCCCTTTCCTGCCCTGCCCGAATGCCAGTGATTTGCTGGCTCGTACTTTTTGTTCACTGAAAACATTTTTACACCAGTGATAACACAGCCAAAAAAAGCACTGTATAAATAACGCAATCAAAGGCACTATGCTGAGGTGCAAAAGAGGAAAGAATATTTATGTAACACAAATGTGTACAAACAGATACAATACAGTGTATACCTATGACACACAACAACACAGAGCGTACAAAAGAAGCCGGCACACAGGACATAGGATGAAGACTCCAGATTCCAATCTTCGTTTCGTTGATACTTCTTCAGTTGTACTAGTTTAAGTAGTAAGCCTGACAATGTCAGAATGTTCTTCTACCGATGATTGGTTGCCCTGCTTAACCTAGTTTGATGTGAATTGTGGATATTGTTCCCTGCATAACAACATGAAGGCTTCTATATATTGAGCACTAGATGAAGCTGTATGGTACAACTGAAGAAGTATCAACGAAACGAAGATTGGAATCCAGAGTCTTCGTCCTACGTCCTGTGTGCCGGCTTCTTTTGTACACTCTGTGTGGTTGTATGCCATATGTATACACTATATTGTATCTGTTTGTACACATTTGTTTTGTATAAATATTCTTTGTTCCTTTGCACTTCAGCATAGTGCCTTTGATTGCGTTATTTATACAGTGCTTTTTCTGACTCTAACATTTTTACACCACCAGACCTAAAAAATCCATCAGCAACTGGTCACTACAATGGAGTACAAGGGCAGTTTGGAAAAGGGTCAGAGAGAACAAAGTCAAAAAAGCTAGATAACGTTCGGGGAAGAAACTCCCCCATGGAACTGCTGTGGGTGGAGATTCTGGGCTTTAAGGGGGACTTCAGAGTGAAGTGTGCTACAGCCTCCCCCCCAATCTGAACCATCTCAAGATGGAGGGAGAAGAAAGGGAGGGGACCAAAGTGGGAAATGTTGTAATATTGGGCGACTTGAACTACCGTACCATTGAGTGGGCAAATGTGTGTTATGGGAGGGGCGGTGGCTCAGCGGCAGAGCCCCTGCTTGGCACACAGAAGGTCCTGGGTTCAATCCCCGGCCTCTCCAGTTTAAAGCAGCGGGTAGTAGGTCATATGAAAGACGCTCGCCTGAGACCCTGGAGCGGTGCCGCCAGTATGAGTAGACAAGACTGACCTGGATGGACCAAGTGTAAGGCAGCATCATCTACTCAATGTGTGCTCAAGTCATGCTGTAAGCAATGAGGTTTCTAAGCAATATAAATGACAGTGCACTGGAACAGTTGGTCATGGAGCCAACCAGAGGGGTACAGCTAGTTTTGAGTCCAGTACCACCTTCTGACCAACAAGATTTTTTTTTGGGGGGGGGGGGGTATAAGTTTTGGAGAGCTAAATGGAACCTCCATGAATAGGGGCAGTATATCTGAATACCAGATGTCAGAGACAAAGAAAGGGTGGCCATTACCCTTCAGTGACCTCCTTAAGGGCTTACCAGAGGGGCAGCCAGATGGCTGATCCAGCAAGGCATTTCTTAGGAAAGGGGGAGAGCGGAAAGAAGACGGCAGGAACGAGGCGGAGAAGAGGCTGGTTAAGTGGAGAGGCACCGTGGGAGGGAAGGAGAGAAAGGAACGCTGGAGGGGCCACACAAAGAGGAAGTGGCCACTCGTTTGGCACCCAAGACAGTGGAATGACAGCTGCCACTCCAGCGGGGACGGAGGAACCCAGGAATGAGGCGGAGAAGAGGCTGGTTAAGTGGAGAGGCACCGTCGGAGGGAAGGAGAGAAAGGAACGCTGGAGGGGCCATGCAAAAGCGGCCACTCGTTTGGCACCCAAGACAGTGGGATGACGGCTGCTGCTCCAGCGGGGACGGAGGAACCTGGAGAGGGGCTCTGGAGCACAGATACCCCTTCGCCTCTCTTACCTGTGGGGCACGGGGATAAGGAAGACGTTCTCATGCACCCGAACTCGCACCCGGATTGGGGCTGGGGGAACGGGATGCTACGGAGAGGAGAGAAAGGGATAAGAAGGGCAGACTGGCCACCCGCCATCCCGGCTTGCCTCTCTGGGGGGAGGGGTCTCCCACTCAGCAGCACACACACCCCTCTCCAACTGTGCTGGGAACTGAGTGCCCCCCCCCCGTGCTCCAGGCCAAGCAGAACACCGAAGAAAAGGTGGTGCTTTGTCTGCCGGCTGACCAGGCCCCAGGGAAGAAGGATGGCCTTCTAGGTGGTGGTGCTGCTGCTACGGAAAAGCCAGCCCTGGCAGCGGGCAAGTTGGGCACCTCTTCCCGCTGGGAAACTCACCTGTGCTGCTGGGCCTGGGGGTGGGCTCTCGCAACCCCCCGTCCTGCTGTAGACCGGGCTGCTGCCCCCCGCCCCCCAGAGGGGACCAGGGTCATTTGCTGGCCGCTCTGGGCTCGCTGTCGGGCCACCCCCTCGCGTCCTGCCCAGGGGGACCCTGTCCACGATCTGGGTGAGGCGGCTCTGCCTGACCCGCCGCCGCTTCTTCCTTGCAGCTTCTTCCTTGCGTGCTTCTCCCTCGCTTTCGCTCTCGGGCCCCGAGGCTTCCTCCGACTCGGACCCGGAGTCCTCGTCGCGACCTGGGCGGCTTCTTTTGCGGGACCTGCGGCTCGGCCCCACGTCGTCCTCCAGCCAATCGTCGCCCACGTAGTCCTCGGCGGGGATCAGGGCTCGCCCGTCCGAGGGCCTCGTGCGCTCAGGGGTCCGTGGCAGACAGGACTGGGCACTGCCCACGTGCCGCATGGCTGCCTGGTACTCTGCTGTGGCTGCCAAGCCAGTCTCCTCCTGCCCAGCCTGGCCCAACACCTGCTCCTCCTCAGCCCTTTGCGGCTCCTGGCCAAAGATACATGGCTTCCTCTTTGCCGGCCTCGGGGGCGAAACAGGGAACCCTGGGCTAGCAATGCTGGTCTCCCTTTCACTCCCCCAGACATGGTTCTCCAGCAGGAAGGGAATGGTTTGGGCGAGACAGACAAGAGCTGGAATCCACAAGGCCCCACACCATCCAAAGTGGAAGCCGGTAGTCCTGCAGCATCTTATGTACCTGTAGCAGCTTGTAACTTCATCATTACCTTTGATGGAGGTGGCACACACCCAGACCAATGAAATCTCTGATACCAGGTTTGTTGGCCAATTGAATTATATTTTAGGCTAAAATTACTTTAAATTCAGACCACTTATAAAATTTCATTAATTGTATTTTTATATTTATTCAGAATAATTTGAAGAATTGGCACGGCTATATTTACGGCCCAACATATAAGCTAGTAGCATAACTAAAAACATATAAGGTAACTTCAGCAAAAAAGAAATCTTTATTATTATTAATGTTTTATTTCTTATACATTTGGTATGTAATAATGAGGCTTCCCCCCCTTCTTTTTTTCCTTTCTATAATTTCAGGAAACAACATCTGGTGTATTTTGGATGCGTGTCAGTGCAATATAGAGAATAGTGACCACTGAGGAAGGCCCGAAGGGGCCGAAACACGTTTGGTCCTAAGTTAAAAAGTGTTTCCCCCTCAAGTGTATTTGTATTTGAAAAGCTTTTGAAATTTAGACTCTTTCTTTTAATCATAGTATGTTTTAACTTGTGTACACCTTAATAAACATTTGTATTTTAATGATATATTATATAGTGTTAGTTTGACCCTCTTGGTTCGCAGATATATCTTGGGTTGAGTTCCCCCCCCTTTCCCCCCCCCAGTTTTTTGAAGGGAGTTTTGACCCTCGAAACCTTGGGTATCAGCTTTCCGGAGTCAGAGCGTCCTTCGTCAGGTTTGAGGAAGGGAGCGGTGATTCTCAGAAACTTGTCCCCTACAAACCTGCTGAAGAAGTGTGCACCAGAAGAAGTGTGCCTGCACCCGAGAGCTTCCAGAATGGTCTTAAAGGTCCCTGACTGGACTCAGACTTTGTCCTCAATGGACTGTTGGTCTCGAAGGTCCAGCTGTTCTACCGACCAGCGTGGGGGGGGGGCTCTGAAACTATCCACAAGGGGCTCTGTCATGATCTGTGTACGACTGGGCAACAAGGCCTAGTGAGGCCTAGGACCAGGAGAGACCTGTGTGGGAGTAGAAAGCAGACAGCCTACAATCCCCACAATGCTTAGCAACGGTTGTAACCGATCGGTGTCCAGGGATTGTGTGAGGAGATTGGGACTTAAGCTTTGTGGGCTGTGAAACTGTGTTCTTTTCTCTACTGCATTCTTTCCTCTCACAGAGCTAAACTGAGGGGACAGTCTGGTCTGAGAGAAAGATCCCTCACTTGGGACAGAGTGAGTACAGGCACAGGCCTGGTATAAAAGGCTGTGGGCCTTGAATAGTAACCCGTTAAGAGAAATAGGTAGCCACGTTAGATTTGTTTATTCTGCCTTTTGACACTGTTATATATTTTAAGCACCTTGTCTTGTATTCCTTGCCCCAGTACTGTGTTACTAAACCGTTTGTTTAATGTTCTCTGCCTGGTCATCACGCCTATATTTCTCGGCTTAAAAGGGGCGTTTTGGTTGGGCTTGGGAGGGTACTCTGGGCCTTCCCAAGGGACCCTAAGTCCAGAGTGGTGGCAGACGAAAGTGGTAACCCCCTGTGAGTCATGACAGGCTCCTTTGGGGCCTGGACTGCCCTCTTTGTAGGGCTTCCCTCCTATTTCTGTCCCCGGTGGCAGCAGCAACCATGAAGGAACAAGCATTCGGCCTGAGGGCCGAATGCCACAGGGTTCCAGACCGCAGTGCCTCCTGCTGGTCTGGGCAGAACCGAGATAAACTCTCTCCCTCAGACATCTCCAGTGAACAAAGACTCTGCTCCAGTTCTACACCCCACTCAGGGCCCTTTGCGTGGCACTCCTGGTGGCCCTTCCTAGCCTGGCTCCGGTCCGTGACTGATTCGAGAGCTGCAGATGTTCGGGCCACCAGTCAGAAAGAGGGGAAGGAGGCAGAGACGGGCAGGCTTCCGTGCTGGAAGTCGGGCTGCTTGCTTTCACGAGCACTACCTGAGCACCTTGAGTTTCTCACAAGAGAAAATACAGGGTTGTAGTTTTCAGGCACTGCGCTCTGCAGCAGCTCCCCAAGGAGACCCTTCCCAGGAAGGGAGCGGCAGCAACCCCCCCCCCCCGACCTTCCCTCACATGAAGCAGCCCTAGACTGAATCAGACCCTCGGTCCTTCAAGGTCAGTCTTGTCTACTCAGACTGGCAGCCGCTCTCCAGGGTCTCAGGCAGAGAAAGGTCTTTCAAATCACCTCCTGCCTGGTCTTTTTAACTGGAGATGCCGGGGATTGAGCCTGGGACCTTCCACATGCCAAGCAGAGGCTCTGCCACTGAGCCACAGCCCCTCTTTACCTCTCTCCAGGGTCTCAGGCGGAGGTCTTTCACATCACCTACTGCCTGCTCCTTTTTAACTGGAGATGCTGCCGGGGATTGAACCTTGGACCTTCCGCATGCCAAGCAGAGGCTCTGCCACTGAGCCATGGCCCTGCTCCACTATTACCAACTGACAGCCTAAGGCTGGAGAGCCCAGTTCCCCTGAGACTTCTCACTACAGCCTGAGCCAGCCGCCCAAGACAATCGAAGAAGATCGAGGAGCCGACTGCGAGAAGCGAGAACTGAGTAACGACAACCACTGTAAAATCACCAATAACTAGCACTTGATTATGTCTCATGCTTTAAGTGGTTTTAGAATTGTTTAATTGTTTTAATTGTTGCTGCTTAATCTATATTCCGTATCGGTTGTAGATTCCATGCTGTTTTGACGTGAGCCGGCCTTGGCCGGGAAGGCGGGGTAGAAATTTAATAAATCAAATCAAACCAAATACACACATGATGAACTTCCACTGAACCAAATCCTTGGTCCGTCAAGGTCAGTGCTGTCTGCTCTGAGTGGCAGCAGCTCCCCAGGGTCTCAGGCGGAGGAGGTCTTTCACACCACCCACTCCCTGGTCCTTTCAACTGCAGAAGCTGGGTGTCAGGCAGCCCTGTCATGGGTCTGGAATGTGGAGGGGTGGCCCTCCCGTGTTCTGTCTCAGCTCTCCCTGGATCACCAACTGTTTGCTATCTTATGCTTGGCCTTGTAGATGCTCCAGCTGCAGTTTTACTCAGCTGGGAAAGTTAACGGCTTTTTTGCTTTGCCTGCTTGCTTTGCCCACGCGTGCACGAGAGATGTGTCCATTGGCTCATGCTTACCGTGGGGATGTCTGATTCTAGTATAAGTCACTTGTATAGGTGGCCATTCCTGACACAAGCTGCACACGTGTCTCTAGTACTGGATTTACCAATAAACAGTTATCTTCTCATGAAGCCCTGTGCTGTGAAACCTGACTAAGTTGCCCACGCGTGCACGAGAGATGTGTCCATCGGCTCATGCTTACCGTGGGGAGGTCTGATTCTAGTATAAGTCACTTGTATAGGTGGCCATTCCTGACACAAGCTGCACACGTGTCTCTAGTACTGGATTTACCAACAAAGAGTTATCTTAGCTGCTCCATGGCCTTGCTGCGCTCACGAGTTTCCCGGTCCAGATCCCGACCGTATAGACGCCCCCACTCCTGGAGAGTACCCAAAGGGTTGAGGCCCTACACAGGAGAAAATGCCAGGCACAGTGAGGGCAAGAACACCTGTAGGAGACCATGGATCCCCTCGAGCCGGCCAGACGCTCTCTGGACTGTGCACAGAGGAACAGCAGAGGGAGACTAGTCCAACCCAGGAGGGCCTCCCAGCAACACAGATGGCAAACGGACAAACCCCTGGCCTTGCCCCCTGGCTGGGCCTATGCGTTAAGAACCCTGGAAGAGCCCTGCTGGATCAGACCAGTGGTCCAGCCTCCTGTCTCACACAGTGGCCAACCAATTCCTCTGGTGGTCCAACAACAGGGCACAGAATCCAAGGCCTTCCCCTTGTAAGAACACCGGAAGAGCCCTGCTGGATCAGACCAGGGGTCCATCCAACCCGGAATCCTCTGCAGGGCCAGCAACATGGCACAGAGGCTGAGACCTTTCCCTAATAAGAATGTCAGAAGAGCCCTGCGGGATCAGACCAGCGAGGGTCCGCCTAGTCCAGCATCCAGTGGACAACCAATTCCTCCGGAGGGCCAACACCAGGGCAGAGAAGCCAAGGCCTTCCCCTGATGTTGGCTCCTGGTTCTGGGATTCAGAGGCTTAGTGGAGCTTCTCTTTAGTGACCATGGCGAGTAGCCACTGATAGACTTATCCTCCATGAATCTGTCTAATCCCCTTTTAAAGCCCTCTATGTCTGTGGCCATCACTACATCCTCTGCCAGCGAATCCCACATTTATGAGTTGGGGACTTGCTGTGTACATCTGGGAGGGTCTGGGAATGTCTCCAGATTTTGGGGACGGGGGTAGACAGACACATTTAAAAAAAGGAGGAACTGGGACAACATCCCCCAGCGCCCCCCAGAGGGCTCCACTTGGCTGCACTGTTAGAATTCAGGAGGTTTTCTGGTGGCAACGTGGAGGGCAGAACAGGGGCAAGGGAAACTGCATGCGCAAACGGGGGCCACACGCACGCACGTACGGGATGGCTGTCCAAAGCAGGCCCTCCCCAGGAGCACCCTCAGCAATGCCCAACAGCGTCTCCCTTCTCCCTACCTTGCCGTTACGCAGAACCACGGAGGCCCCTCTGTGGATCAGCAGCTCCGCCACATCGAAATGGCCGCAGTTGAGGGCGTCGTGGAGGGGGGTGATGCCCTCGCAGCCGGGGCCCCCAGGGTCGTCGATGTTGGCCCCGTGGTCCAAAAGCAAGCGGACGACCTCTGGGAAGAAGAGGCAAGAGGTTCACGGCAAGGGGTGGCCCCGGCCGCTGCTCTCTCCAGGGCCCCGTTTTCCCCAGACCGCAAGGCCCTAACCAACGCTCCCTCTAAGCTTTGGAGTCTCGTGAGCAAACATGCTACTTTGTGAAGCTCCTGGCGTTAAAGTGGTGAGTGAGCCATTTGGCTACTGCATACATTAGTTTCCTCTGGAGCCATCCTTCTGGAGCGAGGACAAAAAAATGTGCGAGCCGGAGGCTTAAAAAACTGTGAGCTCGCTCACACTGACTCGGCTTAGAGGGAACACTGGCCCCAATCCCCTCCCCAGCACTTACCCAGATGCCCGTGGTTGCAGGCCTCGTGCAGCGGGGTCCAGCCGCAATAGTCCCGAGGGTTCACAGGGTGAGCCTGTGATGGAGAGGGGAGGCAAAAACGGAAGAAGAAGAAGAAGGAAGAGGAGGAGGAGATTGGATTCATACCCCATGGCCCTTCACTCCCCAAAGGAGTCTCAGAGCGGCTGACAATCTCCTTCCCCTTCCCCTCCCCTCCCCACCACAGACACCCTGTGAGGTCGGTGGGGCTGAGAGAGCTCTGACAGGAACGGCCCTTTTTTAAGGACAGCTCTTATCAGAGCTACGGCTTGCCCAAGGTCATCCAGCAGGTGCAAGTGGAGGAGTGGGGAATCAAACCTGGTTCTCCCAGATTAGAAGAAGAGGAGGAAGAGATTGGATTTATACCCCGCCCTTCACTTGGAGTCTCAGAGCGGCTTAACAATCTCCTTTCTCTCCCCCTCCCCACAACAGACACACCCTGTGAGGTAGGTGGGGCTGAGAGAGAGCTCTGACAGGAACTGCTCTTTTTTCAAGGACAGCTCTTGTCAGAACTACGGCTTGCCCAAGGTCATCCAGCAGGTGCAAGTGGAGGAGTGGAGAATCAAACCCGGTTCTCCCAGATTAGAAGAAGAGGAGGAAGAGATTGGATTTATACCCCGCCCTTCACTTGGAGTCTCAGAGCGGCTTAACAATCTCCTTCCCTTTCCCCTCCCCACAACAGACACCCTGTGAGGTGGGTGGGGCTGAGAGAGCTCTGGCAGAAACTGCTCTTTTTCAAGGACAGCTCTTGTCAGAACTACGGCTTGCCCAAGGTCATCCAGCAGGTGCAAGTGGAGGAGTAGGGAATCAGACCCGGTTCTCTCCACACACTTCACCACGACACCAAACTGGCTCTCCAGGTGGCTGAGGTCCACGTGGCTGGCAGGCTGGAAGGAAACCTCGGCCTTTCCACCCCCCTGCCTGTTCCCCCCTGCCCAACACACAAGGAGGCACCTTGTGGAAACTCCAGCAGGAGAGGTTGGGGGGTGCCCCTTTCTGTGCCCCCCCCCCTGGCTTCACTGCCCGGTCCTCAGTGGCCCAGGCTGGCCCGATCTCTTCAGATCTCAGAAGCCGGGCAGGGATGGCCCTGGTTAGCGCTTGGATGGGGGACCTCCAAGAAGGCACAAGGTTGCGAGGCAGAGGCAGGAAACGGCAAACCGCGTCTTTTCGCCTCTGGCCTTGTCCTGGATGGGCCGGGCGAGCCTGATCTCGGCAGACCTCAGAAGCTGAGTCAAATACTTGAGGGGAGCCCAAGGGGAAGGGGGAAACTCCAGGCAGCCAGGAGCGTTGGGCTCTTCCACACGTGACGGTTCCCGCTGGGTCTTTCTGCCTCGTCCTGAGGGTGGGGCCCACTTCCCACGTCAAGACTGAAGAGGAAGAACCCCACAGACCAACAGACAGCAGGCAGGCAGGGAGGGAGGGGGGCCGCTGGCAAAGGAAGCACCCGCCCCCTTGCTGAGGCAGGGGGGAGAGCCGCCAGGTGGGTCTTTGGGGCTCACCTTCTCCAAGAAGAACTGGACCCGGCGCAGGTTGCCGTCGATGCAGGCTCGGTGCAGCAAGGTCTCACCCTTGTCGTTCCGCTGGTTCCACTGAGAGAAGGGGCACGGTCAGGCCACACCCGGCTCCCCCGGCCTGTTCACAAAGCTGACAGAAACACAACCAGACCCCCACCCACCCCCCCTGCTGGCAGCCCGGCCTCACCTTGCTGACGTTGCGCCGGCCAGGGACGCTTTTGCCGTAGCCCTCCAGGTCCTCCTCTCCGTCTGGAAGACAAAGGGAGGTGTGAGAAGTGGGCCACGGCCACCCCGATGCCCACCCCCAGGGAGTTCACAGCCCAAAGGCCACACCCACCCCCTGCTTGCCCCAGAGAGCCGGCAGGTCAAGGTGTCCCTCGCCACCCAGAATGGCAACCGGCCTCTGGGATCGTGGCCCGCAGCACCTGAACTCGGCGGCCCCTGCTTTTGACTCAGCTGGGTCCTCTTAACGTCCTGCTACAGAAACACTTCTCCCAGCCAAGTGCGCCAACTTCTGCCTTCCACTCACTGCTTGTGGATGTCAATGGACCTACTCATGTGTTTACGCTGCAAGTGTGAGGCCAAGACTATCCCTCCAGTCCCGTTTTATAAACACTGGCTTCCAGTTTGATTTGGGGCTCAGTTCAAGGTGCCGGTCTTGGCCTTCAAGGGGCTGTACAGCCTGGGACCGATACACCTTAAAGACCACCCTCTCCCAAATTAACCTCCCGGTTTACTCGGATAATCCCTGGAGGCCCTGCTGTGGTTGCCCCCACCACTGGAAGCTAGAAAGGCGGCAACCTGAGAAAGCCACTTTGGTGTAGTGGTTAAGAGCATGGACTCTAATCTGGGAGAACCGGGCTTGATACCCCCACTCCTCCACTTGCACCTGGCTGGATGACCTTGGGCAAGCCATAGTTCTGTCAGAGCTGTCCTTGAAAAAGAGCAGTTTCTGTCAAGAGCTCTCTCAGCCCTGCTTACCTCCTAGGGTGCCTGTTGTGGGGAGGGGAAGGGAAAGGAGTTCGTAAGACACTCTGAGACTCCTTTGGGTAGTGAAGGGTGGGGTATAAATCCAATCTCCTCTCTTCTTCAAAGGGCTTTCTTTCTCAGGGCACCAAAACGTCAAACCCCACCCCACCCCAGAAGTTCACCCGCCTCCCTCTGTCGGTGGCTTCCACCAGCAGGTGAACCCCTTTTCGTTTCCTCTGGCATCCCGCCAAGAGCAGTCATTGGCCCTCCTCTGGTGTTGTTTGTTACATGTTTTATCGAATTGTTTTAAACACTTATTCCAATTGTTCAAATGTTTTAATATTTTTATGTGCACCATCTTGGGAGCCCTGATCAGACGGAAAGGCAACATTAAAGAAGAAGACAAGAAGAGATGGGATTTACCCAAAGGAGTCTCGGAGCGGCTTACAGACTCCTTTCCCTTCCCCTCCCCACAACAGAGACCCTGTGGAGTAGGTGGGGCTGAGAGAGCTCTGACAGAAACTGCTCTTTTTCATAACAGCTCTTATCAGAACTACGGCTTGCCCAAGGTCATCCACCAGGAAGTGGTGGAGGCTACAAGTATGAACGGCTTCAAAAGGGAATTAGATAAGCATATGGAGCAGAGGTCCATCAGTGGCTATTAGCCACAAGGTATGGATGGGGCTCTGGGGCAAGGGATGCTCTGTCTTCTTAGTGCTTGGGGGGGGGGGCAACAGTGGGAGGGCTTCTAATGTCCTGGCCCCAGGTGGACCGCGTGATGGCACTGGTAGTTCTGGCCACTGTGTGACACAGAGTTTTGGACTGGATGGGCCATTGGCCTGATCCAACATTGGCGTCTCTTATGTTCTTATAGGAACTCTCGGTCTGGGGCAAGGGATGCTCTGTCTTCTTGGTGCTTGGGGGGCAGGGGCAACAGTGGGAGGGCTTCTGGTGTCCTGGCCCCACTGCTGGACCTCCTGATGGCACCTGGTATTTCTGGCCACTGTGTGATACAGAGTGTTGGACTGGATGGGCCTTTGGCCTGATCCAACATTGGCGTCTCTTATGTTCTAGGTGCAAGTGGAGGTGTGGGGAATCAAACCCGGTTCTTCCATTTGGAGTCCGCGCACTTAACCACCACACCGAACCACCACACCAAATAAATAACCAATTTCTGCCATTCTTTCCCCACACCTCTTGCAATCCAGCGGTCTCTGTCAGGCCACCCGCCTCCTGCCCCACCCCAATGTTCTACTTTTAGAACTAACAAGCTGAAAGTGAGCCGTTCCCCTCAGGAGGACAAGGATTCTTCTTGTTCGTTTCGGCAGCAGCCCCTCCCTGTCTTTCCCCCCAGCACAAAGTTGGGAGTGGGTCACGAGGGGAGGCGCAAAATGCAGCCCCCCCCCGCCCCAGCCCAGAGCCCCTTGCGAGGGCACCCCTCCGTCATGGCCCCCCACCCGCCTGCCCGCCACGCTGCTCCGCCCTGCTCTCACCGCTGCCGGAGAGCTCCAGGTCGCTCTCTTCCAAGGGCTCGCTGCTCTGCAGCTCCTCCTCTTCCTCGCCCGCCTCCCCATCCGGGCGCTGGCCCAGGCAGCCGCGGAGGTCCTCCAGCTGGGCCAGGGTGGCCGAGGCCTCGGGGCACCCGCATCTCTGCTGCGAGGCGTGGAAAGACCGCAGGACCTGACACTGAGACAAACGGTTTCCCCGTTTTAGGTAACAAGGGTAACAATCAGATCTCGCCCCCCCCCCCCCCACCCCCCTCCGGGGTGATCCGTGGACGACGGCGCCCCGACGGGAAAGGGCGGGGGATGGAGGGGCGGGTCGGCGTCTTTGCCTTTGGGCGGGGGCGGGGCCCAGATGTTGGGGTTTGTGGGAGATGACAGGGGAATAAAAGAGCGGCGTGAGCAAGCCGATGAGGACACACGGGACTGGCTGCAAGATTGGGCATTCTACTGAGTGTGAGAGAGATAACACCAGTGGGCCCAGACAAAGACGGCAGTCCCACACAGACCCGAAGGAGATGGAGTGACGGAACTCCCTCCAGGGCCTGCGCCTGAGGCACGCTCCGGACCCGCTACGAATCCTTTTTCCCTTTTCATCTGCTGCTACCACAGCATCCCTCTCCCCCCAGACGTCCTTCAGGGGTCAGTAGAGCTGTCGGGGCTACGGCGGAGGGTCTGGACCCCGGGCGGGAGCAAACAGCGCCTCACAAGTAGTCAAATCACTGGTTCACAACTTGAGTGCCAGCAGCTCACAAAGTAGGATTTTTGTGCACAAGACTCCACAGCTTAGCGGGCTAAGCCACACAGGCTTAGCGGGAGCATTGCTCCCAACCACCCCACGTTTTTCAGGAAGGAAGGAAAGCCAAAGCTCGTCGGACTGGAGAGCCACCAGACAGACACAGGCATCCACTGAGATCACGGATGACTGAGACAGGAAAACACAAATATAATTTCAGAGGGGAGCCCTGCTGGTCTGCAGTAGGAGAGCCAGATTCGAGTTCAGTTGCCCCCTTAGAGACTGTGGCGTCCTTCCTTATTGGGGAGACTGTTTTACTTTTAAAACACTCTCTGTGTACCTAAACTTGGTAGATTTCTGCTGCCACCAGGAATTAAAAATTCCAAATCTCTCTCTCTGCTGGCAGAAAGACCTAGGGTCTGGGACACTCTCTGTGTACCTAAACTTGGTAGATTTCTGCTGCCACCAGGAATTAAAAATTCCAAATCTCTCTCTCTGCTGGCAGAATGACCTAGGGTCTGGGCACTTCAGAGGACTATGTGGCCCTGAGGAAGTACTGTACTGATTTCTGAGATACAAACAAAAATTGATTTATTTAATAAAGAACAAAATAGGTTTCTGGTTATTCTGAACAGTTGCTGAAGAAAGGGACTTGTAAATATATAACTGGCAAAGCTTGGTGCCACAAACAGTCTCTCAAACTCCAAACTCCACTCTGACAGGCTTATACACTCACTCTCTCACTCTTATATATAGCCACACAGGCTAGTTTCTGTTTTATTCACACTGAATGGAATCAACTCTCTTAGTCACACAGACTAAACTGTTAGTCTTATTCATACAGAATTAGACTCAAAATTCCATAGTCACACAGACCATGTTCTCTCTTCAAACTTTACACACAGACTCCTTCATAACTCGTCCACACTTGTCTCTCTCATATCACAGAATCTCCTCAAAGACACACACACAGAATCCTCTCCGAACATCTCCTCCCACACTCATCTCCCCCTATCGCTCTCTTTACATTACTGCAGCCAAACTCAACATTTAAAGACACACACACACCAAAACATGGAATCATTACAGAGACCACAAGATTTCTGGGGTATCTGACGAAGAGAACTTTGACACTTGAAAGCTCGTACTTTGAAAATCTTGTTGACCTCGAAGGTGCCACAGCCTTGGATAGAAGATTACGCATGACTGTGAAAGATGAAGCAGATTTCCTGAGCAGTCTGATAACACAAGGAGAGCAGGGCTCATTCCTCTGGATCACTTCCTTTTAAGTGCCACATTTCCAAGTTAAGTGCCACATTTCCTTCTATCAAGACACACAAGGACAGATGGTCTTTGTAGACAGTGGTCAAGGGTTGTGTTTTTCTGCTGTGAACCACTGCTCCGAACAAAAGTCAAATAAATAAAGCAGTCCGTTATTGTTATGACTGGACAAAACGGGGATGCTCAGAGGGGCAGAGCCTCTGCTTGGCACGCAGAAGGTCCCAGGTTCAATCCCCGGCAGCATCTCCAGTTGAAAGGACCAGGTAAGCAGGTGATGTGAAAGACCTTTCTCTGCCTGAGACCCTGGAGAGCCGATGCCAGTCTGACTCGACAAGACTGACTTTATTTATTTATTACGTTTGATTTCTAACCCGCCCTTAAAAACATAACTTTACAACATTAAAGCCATTCCAACAACAGTGGCGCTTAATAGGCCAAAGCATTGCAGATGACGACAGTCGAAGAGGTAAGTGAGAGGGGATGGAACTCACAAAGCAGAGGAGACAGTACTCTTCACCATCATCGACACTGCCCATGTGTCTGGTGGAACATCTGTCTTACAGGCCCTGCAGAATTGTTTCAGATCCCACAGAGCCCGGGTCTCACTAGACAAGAGTTCCACCAGGTAGGGGCTAGAGCGGAAAAGGCCCTGTCCCTAGTCACGGACAGTCGGGTGGGTGGTTTTCGGGCCGGGGACTGCTAGGCGGTTGTCATTAGCTGAGCGTAACGCTCTTTGAGGGACATCTCAGGAGAGGCAGTCCCAAAGATACGCTGATGGACCATGGGTCTGATTCAGTAGAAGGCAGTTTCACGTGCTCGTGACCACCTTACAGGGCTGTTGAGAGGACTGCTGAGATAATACAGATGAGCTGCTACAACACTCAAAGCACTTGGTATGTACTATTGATCATAAGTACTTCAGAACCATAGGCCTTGGGACGGTCTGGTCATGTTGCCGCTAGAGGAAAACAAGAATGGGGGCGGGGGGGGGGCAGACAGCTCCCCTCCCTCTGGAATCATCCCCCCCAGGAGGGGCAGGGCTGGCCCAACTATCTTTGTACGTTTAGCATCTGATCTGTTCTATAACTTGATGGTCTGTGAAAACTGAGGAGAGTGGGAGTAACGCCCTGTCTTCTGAGACTGTGGCTTACACTGTTTTTAAAAATCTAATTTTTTGGTGAATGTAAGAAAGGCAATACTGGAAAGTTCTCAATAACTAGATGAAGAGGCAGGAGACAGACGTCTTGAGAAGGCGCAGGGAACTGCAGAGAAGCGAAATTCATTATTTGCATCAGCCTTGGCCATGGAGGAGGGGCCGCAGTGGCTCAGAGGTTAAGACGCTGAACTGCAGACTGGAAGGCCGGTAGTTCGGCAGTTCGAGACCCGAGTGCTGTGGGATAGAGTGAGCTCCCATCTCTAGCCACGGCTCCTGCCAACCTAACATTTCAAAAGCAAGAAATTGCAAGTAGATAAATAGGTACCGCTTTGGTGGGAAGGTAACAGCGTTCTGTGTGCCTCGGCATCTAGTCATGCAGGTCACATGACCACGGAGAAGTCTTCGGACAGCACTGGCTCTTCGGCTTGGAAACGGAGATGAGCCCCGCCCCCTAGAGTCGGATTCGACTGGCTTTCGAGCAAGGGAAACTTTTACCTTTTACTGGCCATGGAAGACCTCCAAAAGAACTTGCTCGCTGCTGGGGCAGGCCTCTGAAGAGCCACAGTGAGATCTGAGAGCACTGAAATCAGCCTGTTTGTCGGGGAGGGGGGTACTACGCGAGAAGGAATATCAGCAATCTCTCTTGGCCTCTGAGGACATAAAGAGGGGGAGCCACCGACCGGGAGCCGGGCCTCCTCCCCACCCCCCCACAGACTCACCTGCAGTCGGAGGTCACCAGCCGTCTCCGCCCTCTGCAGAGCTTTCTGGAAGCAGGGCTCTAGGGCTTCGTAGCTCTCTCGGGCCTCCTCCTTGGCCAGGGTGATATTCAGCCAAGTCTTGGCTTCCTGGCCACAGAAAGACGAGGGAAGACGCAGGAAGGTTACAGATCTCAGCCTCGTTGCCTCTGGCACATTTCCAGTCCTGATGCTTGCAAGACTCCAGAATTGTGCAAAGGGCCTTCTCCAGCTCAGCAGTTGCTTGGTGTAGAAATGCAATGGGGACCTGAAGTCCACAGTCTAACACAGGGCAGTGTGTGGTGTAGTGTTTAAGAGTGCCGGACCAGTACCTGGGAGACCCATGTTCAAATCCCCAGTTGTGACACGGAAGCTTGCTGGGAGGCCCTGGGCCAGTCACATTCTCTCAGCATGACCTACCTCGCAGGGTTGCCAGGAGGCTAAAACGGAGAAGAGGAGAACAACAGAAGCTGCTCTGGGCCCCCCACGGCAGAGAAAGGCAGGGTAGAAACGAATTAAATAAATAAAAAACAGGCGCATGCATCCACACGCACCGACCCATCTCACCTCCAGAGCGTTCCCCTGCCGCACCCACACGCACCGACCCATCTCCCCTCCAGAGCGTTCCCCTGCCGCAGCGCCAGCTCTGCCTGATAGTGGTGCACTGCCTGAGCGTGATCTTTCAGGTCTCCAAAAGTGGCAGCCAGAGACACGTGGATCACAGCGAGCTCCTGTCCCGGGCGCCTCAAAGCCTCAGCATGCTGCAGCTGAAACAAGAATTCACAAAACCAAACAAGGACCCACGGTAAGCAGGAAGACCAACACACGACAAGTACCGTGCACAGATGATTATAACGTATCATAAATAATTTTATATTTTTTGGAAAATATCTTTACTATCATTTCTACATATATAATTCGGTACTTGTTGTATGAAGGCAGCTGAAACAAGATCATAAGGACACGAGAGGAGCCACACTGGATCAGTCCGGTGGTCCGTCCAGTCCAACACTCTGTGTCACATAGTGGCCAAAACCCAGGTGCCATCAGATGGTCCACCAGTGGGGCCAGAACTCCAGAAACCCTCCCACTGTTGCCCCCCCCAAGCACCAAGAATACAGAGCATCACTGCCCCGGACAGAATGTTCCATCCAGAGGTTCCCAAACTTATCTGGCCTACCGCCCCCTTTTCAGAAAAAGAATTACTCAGCGCCCCCCTGGAAATCTACCTTAAAGATGCAGTGACAGATTTGCACATAGTAAAGAAAGATGTTGTTGCAAGTAAAGAAAGATGTTGTTGTAAGTAAAGAAAGATGCTGTTGGCCTGAAGCCAGAGGCCAGCAGCAGCCATGGCACAATAGCTCAGCAGCAACACCAGCCTTACAAGGGTGCACATGCATTTGCAAATGCATGGCTGTGATTGGCTGTGGGGACCCCTCTCCACCTCCCTCCCTGATCCCAGGGAGGACCAGGAGAAGGCAGGAAAAGGCTGCTTTAGAAAGGTTCTGGACTCTTCTTTCTTTTTGCTTCCACCGCCCCCTTATTTTTATTCAACGCCCCCCCAATTGAACCCAAGGCTCCTACCGCCCATCTGGATCGTTCCAGTGCCCCCCCGGGGGGTGCTATTGCCCACTTTGGGAATCGGTAATCTAGACCTTCTGGCTAATAGCCACTGATGGACCTCTGCTCCTACAAAGGTGCTTCCCGCTGCCCTCTTGAGAATACCTGGTGTCAACACACACCTGTTCTTTGTAGGCCTCCAGAGCGCGCCGATAATCCCCCTCCTTGGAGAAGAGGTCCCCCAGCTGCTCACACAGGGCCAGGGCCGTCTGCAGGTTGCTGGCTGCCTCCGCCTCCTCCAGGGCCTGCTGCAGGGAGCTCACCTTCATGGCTGCCGGGGAGAAAGCATCTCGCAAGCCCTCCCAAGGCACAGAGCGCACGCTGGTTTGCAGTACCTGGTCCTGCCCACTTCCTTGCAGAGCAGTGCGCCAGCCCTGAGAGGCAGACCGGTCGGCTGTAGTCAACTCACCGTAGCGCAAGCTGTGGCAGACGCTCTCCCGCTGCTGGGGCTGCTGGGAGCCCAACAGGTAGGCCTTCTTCAGGAAGCGCTTAGCGGCCACAAAGTCCCCCAGGCTCAGCAGCACCTGGAGGGGAAACATCAGGAGGTCCAGCAGTGGGGCCAGGACACTAGAAGCCCTCCCACTCTTGCCCCCCCCTTCCAGGCACCAAGAAGACAGAGCATCCCTTGCCCCAGACTGAGAGTTCCTATCTATACCTTGTGGCTAATAGCCCCTGATGGACTTCTGCTCCATATGCTTATCTAATTATCTAAGAAGGGAGAGTGGAACAGACTGCCTCAGGAGGTGGTGGATGCTCCTTCGCTGGACGTTTTCAAGCGGAGGCTGGACGGCCATCTTTCAGGCATGTTGTAGGTATGTAGGGCTCTCTTTTGACTATGCTCCTTCAGAGTACAGGGGGTTGGACTAGATGACCTGCAAGGTCCCTTCCAACTCTAACATTCTATGATTCTATGAATTTCCTCTTGAACCTGTCCATGCTTGTAGCTGCCACCAGCTCCTGTGGCAGTGAATTCCATGTGTTCATCACTCTTTGGATGAAGAAGGACTTCCTTTTATCCGTTCTAACCTGACTGCTCAGCAGTTGCAAGGTTCTCTGTGAACTCCACAATCCTACCAGGTAAGCGTCATCCAAACAGGGGTCCCACCCCACAGCAGGAAAGAGACAGGCAGCACCCAAGCAGCTGGGTTTCCTCTTGCGAGACCTCCGGGTCCTTCCCAGCCAGGGGTGCTTCAAAGGGGGGCGCACACAGAGTGAGCAAAGCGGGGGGGTCTCTCACCTGGCCAAGGCTCGCGCAGCACTCACTCTCCATTAACTTCTCCTTCATCTTGCGAGCGCACTCCCGCGCCCTCTCCAGGCAGCGCATGGCTTTGGAATGCTCACCTTCCCGCAGGTGGATGTTGCCTAGGTTGAAGTAGGCCCGGTAGAGGTCCTCGTACAGGTGAGTCTGCCTAAGGGAGGGGGGAGACAAAGACCCAACTCACTCGAGAGCCAAGCCTGGCTTTGCTCCTCCAGAGAATATGACTGCGACCAGGGGTCGTTTCGTAGAAAAAGAGCTAGGGGAACTCATTAGCATAACTCATTAGCATATGCCACACCCCCTGACATCACCGGAAGTGTGTCATGAGGCCACACCCCCTGACATCACTGGAAGTGTGTCATAAGGCCACACCCCCTGCCATCACCGGAAGTGTGTCATAAGGCCACACCCACCACTCGGTTAGTCTTAAAGGTGCTATTTGAACTCTTGGACTATTTTGCAGCAACAGACTAACACAGCTACCTCGGGGAAGCTCCTGGATGGGGCTGGGAGTCCTTGCGGAGGCCACGTGGAGTGGCCTTGGCCAGGCAGAGGGGGAGGACTCCAACTTACCTTCCTGCTTCTTCCTCCTTCTGCAACAGAATGAGGCTGGAAGCAGGGGGCGGCCGGAAGAAGGGGCGGGGCTTCGTCGTGTGCCCCGCCCCCTTCACCTCACCTGGGGGAACCGCGATCCCCCCCGAATCGACCTCTGACTGCGACACACGCAGGGGGAACTTTGCACCAGCCAGCCCTGTCCTTCTGCACCACAGACCCTCTCGTCTCCAAGAAGTGCTACGAGTCCCAGTGTTCCCCCTAAGCTGAGTTAGTCTGAGCTAGCTCACAGTTTCTTAGCCTCCGGCTCACACGTTTTGGCCCTAGCTCAGGAAGGACGGGGCTCCAGAGCAGAGTAATTCATGCAGCCGCCAAATCGCTCGCGCACCACTTTAATGCCAGCAGCTCACAAAGTAGAATTTTTGCTCACATGACTCCACGGCTTAGAGGGAGCATTGGCGACAACCCCTTCCCTGCCCTGAGAATATGGCTGGCTAGGGTGCCCTTTGAAATGTGGTGTGGGAGGAGGGTTTTACGGATACCCTGGACCGCCAAAAAGAAAATTACACGGGTCCTAGAACAAATCAAGCCTCAACTCTCCTAGAAGCGAAAATGGCTCAACTGAGGCTATCGTACTTTGGTCACCTTACGAGAAGAGAAGAGTCACTGGGAAAGACAATCATGCTAGGAGAAGCGGAAGGCAGCAGGAAAAGAGGGAGACCCAACGTGAGACGGATGGACTCAGTCCAGGAAGCCACAAAGGCCTTCAGAGGCAAGGCTCCCTCTAAGCTGTGGAGTCTTGTGAGCAAACATTCTACTTTGTGAGCTCCTGGCATTAAAGTGGTGAGCGAGCGATTTGGCTCCTGCATAAATCAGTTTGCTCTGGAGCCCCATCCTTCCTGAGCCGAGACAAAAATCTGAGTCGGAGGCTAAAAAACTGTGAGCTGGCTCACCCTAGCTCAGCTTAGAGGGAACACTGGCTGCAATGCTCCCTCTAAGCTGTGGAGTCCTGTGAGCAAAAATTCTCCTTCATGAGCTACTGGCATTAAAGTGGTGAGCGAGCGATTTGGCTGCTGCATACATTAGTTTGCTCTGGAGCCATCTTCCCTGAGCTAAGGCAAAAATGTGAGAGCCAGAGGCTAAAAAGCTGTGAGCTAGCTCACACCAACTCAGCTTAGAGCGCCTGCCTCGGCGGGGGAGGTCAGGGTATAAAATAAACAAACAAATAATAATTAAAAAAACCTCAGCTTAGAGGGAACACTGCTCAGAGGACAGTAGGCAAGAAGGCAGGAAGGAGTGACATGTCAGAACGGGATTTCATTTAATTTATCTTACTACAGATTTCATACCCCGCCTTTCCTCAAGGCAGCCCCGGGAGGCTCTCTGGGGGGACAAATGAACCCCGCCAGGCCCTCCACCCCAGCCACTCCCAAAGACACCCCCCCGCCCCTACTCCGAGATGTAGATGCTCTTCTTGATGTAGTCGCTGCACTTGGCCGGGTTCTTCAGGCTGTCGTGGACCAAGCCGAGGTTCAGGTAGAGCCGGGCCCTCATCTCGCTCACCTCGCGCTGCGGCACTTCCCCTGGGAGAGGGAGACAGGCCGCTGTCAGGCCGCAGAGCCACAGCCGGACACAAAACAGACCCAGCTTGGATCCAACTCCGCTACAGAACCTGTGCC